AAATGTTTGGAGAACTTTCAGGATATAAAATAAATATTCAAAAAACACAGGTGATCACATACAATTATGTACCCACAACAAAGATCAAAAGTACCTCTAAATTCAATTGGAATAATAAAATGATTAAATATTTAGGTATTAAGATTCCCAAAACACTGACAGAAATCTATGAAATAAACTACTCACCAATTACAAGGGAATTGAAAGAAAACATTCAAAGGTGGAGCCTACTGCCGCTTGATCTGTATAATAGGATCGACCTGACCAAAATGAATATACTTCCGCTTCTGCTTTTCCTTTTTCAATCTATACCGGTACACGTACCAGCCAAACAATTTGCGTTATGGAACAGAATGATTTCGGGATTTGTATGGAAGGGCTGTAAACCCAGAGTTAGATATATAACATTGCAACTACCTAAGGAATGGGGTGGACTTTCCCTCCCAAACTTAGAAAGCTATTTTAAAGCAGCACAATTAAGATACTTAATTTATTGGTGTGATCCGTCGTACGAAGCAAAATGGAAATATTTAGATGTGACACAATTAAAATTACCACTACAGACAATACTAGGAGATTAAAAAAATTAGATTTGGAACAGAAAAATAATTTAAACGAATGGACTAAAACTCCTTTAAAGATATGGTTTGATGAATGCGAAAGTCTTAAATCAGGAGCTGGAATCAAACAACTCAGATGGGTCACACATGATAAGGAATTTATCCCTGCACAAACAGATAGACGTTATACAACTTGGTTAACAAGGGGGATCGGACCATTTTGCTCATTGTTAGGAAAAGAAGGATTACAAAGTTTTGAAAAATTAAGAGACACCTATGGTTTGGAAAACCAAGATTTTTTCAGATATCTCCGAGTCAGGTCCTTTTTCAATAGTAATATAAAAACTACAGAAGAACATAGTGAAGGCCTAGTCCCCGTTATAAAAGAAGCTTATAAAGGTCAGATTAAAAATAAATTGATTGCTAAACTTTATCGGAACCTACAATCACTTAAGGATCAATCAACCAATTATATTAAAATTAATTGGGAGACGGAGGCTAAAATCAACACATCAGAGGACAGTTGGTTAAATATATGTAGAACACAGATGGAAACTACTAGCTCGGGTTATTGGAGGGAATTCACGTGGAAAAATTTTATTAGGTTTTTTATAACATCCAAAATAAAATACAAACAAAAAGGTCAACTGACAGATGGATACTGCTGGAGAAACTGTGGGGGAAACATGGCAGATCATTTTCATATATTTTGGAAATGCCCAATAATCCAACCATACTGGAGTGAAGTGGTCGAATCAATTTACTTGGTGACTGGTCTCAAATTAAATTTGGATTTCTGTACTGCGTATTTGGGCAATATCCCATCAGCAGCCTCCTTAAGGGACAAATATTTGATAAACATCCTGTTGGGATGGAGGAAATATATAGAATGGAAAAACTTACATTTTTTTTTTAACCTCAAAATGAACCAATTTCATAAAAAGTGGATGAAGTGGGAGAGATTTGTTGAAGGTGGTAATGTGGGGTGGTGGGTTATATAACCAGAGCTTAACTAAGTATTTTCACGCAACTACTGGAAGAAGGAAGGCCTGCTAAGGACGTGGTCACTGTTTTTTAGAAGGCAGCTCATAAAAGAGACTGGAAATACCCTTCCTTGGGATGATATGGACTGTAAAGCGCTGCGTGGACAGTAGCAAAAACCTGACGACATGGGACCTGTAAAGAGGTGGAGGGGAGCTCCCCCAGACCGGGCAGATCTGAGGGTTTCACTGTGCCATTATGTTATTGTCAGTGTGTATATTATGTTTGTTTGTTTGTTCGTTTGTTTTTGTTTTTGCTGTTTTTGTTTGTTTCATGTGGATGACTGTCATAATTACAAAACTTTCAATAAAAAAAAATATACATTTAAAAAGCTGCTATTTTTTAAAAGACATTAATTTATACGTTTTATTTATCATCAAAAAGACAGTTTTAGCAGTTGCATCCCGTACAAGTAGTATATATACTACATAGTATACATTATACTTTTTTGGATAACGTCTTATTTTACTTCAACTTTTTAAATGCAACAAATGTGATATCAACGTGATGAAAATGCAAAGAATACCAAACCCTTATAGCCCACAGCAGAGCAGTCGAATGTGGTAAAAGATTTTAATATACACTTACAAGTGTTAATTCAATTTTATTTATAGAGCAACAAATCACAACAATAGTCATCTTAAGGCGCTTTATATTGTAAGGTAGACCCTACAATAGTACATACAGTGAAAAACCCAACAATCATATGACCCCCTATGAACAAGCACTTTGGTGACAGTGGGAAGGAAAAACTTCCTTTTAACGGGAAGAAACCTCCAGGAGAACCAGGCTCAGGGAGGGGCGGGGCCATCTGCTGCGGCCAGTTTGGGTGAGAGAAGGAAGACAGGATAAAAGACACGCTGTGGAAGAGAGACAGAGATTAATAACAAGTATGATTCAGTGCAGAGAGGTCTGTTAACACCCATATTTGCCACAAGTGCAGGAGGAAGCTCAGGTTTATTCCTCTGTACTGGTCCCATCATGGACAGCTTTCTTCTCTGCAGTTGCAGGCCAAGGGCATATGAAGTAAATAAGTTGTTACAGGTGATTGTTTCCTTTTGGAAACCTTCTGTAATATTAGGGACAACTTGCATGCCCTGACTGCGGGCCAGATAGTTTAGCATTGTACACTATGTTCCATGTACAGCTGTACCTGGCATCACATACTGCCCATGTTTTTATCTCATAGTTCCCCAGTTTACTTGGGATGTTCTGTTGGAATGGACAGAGTCCTCTGATGGGACTTGGTGCTCATACAGTCACATCAGTACCTGGATCTTACATCACAGCAGGAGAAACACCCACGTGTTCCATACACCTCATGGGAGCACGTTTGTGTCATGAACGATGATCTTCTATTGTGTCTTTATCATGAAATGATATCACTTTTGAGATTCTATGATTAATCTTGTGTTAGGCACGGTAGCATGAAAACTTCCCTACCAGACTCAGGATGTCATAAACTGGCTGTAGCGACTTTACTGGATAGATGCACGGCCGTAAGAATCATACCCACCTATGCCTACAGCTGCATTCAATCCATTATTCTTCATCTGTTGTTGTCCCTCCTTGTTTGTCATTGAGTTGGCTGTAGAGCAGGTCATCTGCTAATTGGATAGTTGTTGGTTCAATCTCTGTGTGCTCTAGTCTGGAGTTCTTACCAAGGTGTCCTTGGGCAAGTTACTGAACCCCAACTTGGTCTCTGATGCATCCATTGGCATGTGAAAGTTAAAAAGCAGAATACATGGCGTATAATGCTTTCAGTACTCGAGTAGAAAAGCAATCGAAGGAGTATGGGACCTGGCATATGTGCTTGGACCGTGGTAGATTGTCTTTCTCTGTGACGCATGAGAGTCATGCATCGTCTGTCACTGGCAAGAATAGAAGACCAGCTCAATGTTTCCTCACATTACTGCAAATATTTCTGTCTCAGCTGACTCCTCTTTCTTGCTTGATTCTTTGTCTTCATCATAATTGAAATGGATGATGTGTAGTCCTCTGACACATCTTCTATTTCAGTTTCACATTCTGAAAATTCAAGAAACTTCAAGAAGCCCAGTCACTTTCTTTCCAAGCTCCTTAGACTACCATGTCCTGGATGCCTGAGAACCTACTTGAACATAGTTCAGATTCTTCCTCATCTTCATCGGTTTCCTTCACTTCACTTCCTTCAATATGTGCATTGTTCTACTGGTCATTCCTATCCACAACATGGTAAAAAAAAAAATACTTTTTCATACTTTCTGTGTATATATTATTGTAGGGTCTACCTTACAATATAAAGCACCTTGAGGCGACTGTTGTGATTTGGCGCTGTATAAATAAAATTGAATTGAACTGAATGTAGAGCACCCGCCTCCTCATTGTGTTGCCTGTTGTTGTTATGACCATTGCTTGACCCCACACATCAGTGACCCAAGATCAAAGATGTTTGAAAGCAGTATGTTGTGACAATGTGACCCTTTACAACACTTTGTACTTTGGGGTCGTTTTTGACCCCTTAGGACAACAGGTATTAGCAAATCCAATAAAAACCAAAACCATAAATAAATCAAATTACTTAAAACTTATACCAATCATGCATAGCATAGTACTGAATAACTCCTGTTATTTTCAGACCATTTGATGAATAAAAAACACATTTTTGATGGCGAAAGATTTCTTTTCGGGTCAAAAATGACCCGAGGACAACACAAGGGTTAAGCCTAAGACTGGTTGGAAAGTCTTGGGGCTTCATACGGATTTTTCCAGACAAAAACTGCCTAAAGATGTCAGTTTTCATGGTAAAGGTTCCTGTACTGACAATCAATCATGTGGTTTGCCTTAGAGATACACAGATACACAGCTGAGGTCCTGAGCATGAGTAGTGTTGAACTTCAGGTTGTTTTGATGAGCAGTGAAAGGATCTGAAGTCTCCGTGAATAGTAGTGGCCCAAACCAGTGATGCTGACAAAAGGTGTATATGTGTGGTTTAAAACTTAATTGAGAGCTTGACAAAATCTTGAAACGACTTCTTTCTCAAGACTCACTGGTGCCTGTAGCCTACATGCTTTACAGACTCCAGATAAACTCAAATATAAAACACGGTCCTGCAATATGCGATGTGAACCGCATGTGTCTTAATTGTATCATAGCAACCAATTAACCTACTCAGTGTTTTGCATGTACGTGCGGTGGGCTTCCACCTGCATTGCCAAGCAACACAGAAAAGCAGGTTAATAAGGCCGTGAAGCTGCTGACCCGCCTTAAATCCTGCTCGCATGTTATTTGGCCGCTTCAGCGAGGACAGATAAAGAGCCGAGTGTCAGGGCTGCCCACACCGACTTCACAGTAATCACATTACAAAACCTCATTATCTATAGAAGACTACAGGAACAAACAGGCAGAACAACAGAGTAATCACTTTTAAAGTTTTATTCATTACGCTGCAGTTTGACTACAGCATAAGTACAAGCATAAAATCTTTGACTACAACAGCACTTAGAGCAACATTTTTTGATTTTTTTTTCTTTTCTGTAAAAGTATTGCAATAACAGACCTTAGGCCTAAAACCTATTACATCACAATTGCTTAAATAAAAAGAGGCAAAAATACACAACAATTTTACCTCTGTGTTTGTGTGTATGTGTGTGTATTTTATTTTATATATATATTTATATAGATATATATATATAAAATCACACACACATTGTATGGTTACTGAATACAGCCATATATATCTAGATTTGAGCACAGAGGGGGGAGAGGAAGAATCATTTTTGTAACGAAAGCTAAACGATGTTACAAAACCCATGATGGAAGCAGTCCTATGTTAGCTGTCAAGACTGAGAGAATACCAAACTGTTGACACGATATCGTCGTCATTAAAATCAGGAACAGTAAAAAGAGCTACTTGTGGTCTTGTCAGCAGTCGAGTACACATTTCTGAGAGAGAGAGAGAGAGAGAGAGAGAGCACTGCGAAGAGAGAAATCAAATAAAAGATCAGTCTGAGCCCGTTAATTCTTCAAGCTAGTGCAGGAAACGAAAAAGAGAAAGAAAAACTTTTAAATTGAAATTAAAGGAAGAGGAGAGCCGAGCGGCACGCCAGCCAAAGTTACAATAGAGACCATTTCCAAATATAAACTACACAACTGCCACTTATTTGGTGCTTCAAAGAGAACATGGCGCGTTGCTATGTACATCGTCTATAGATAAGAATGAACATGCTCTGCGGTTATTGTACAGTGGAGTTATTTTCAGTACATACTGTAAATAAATGACTGCAGATTAAACATGACTTTTGTTTTAATATACTGTGCCACATATAACATTATAATGTAGAAAATAATCGTGAAAAATAACAGAGGAAACAAACAAAAACAAAAAAAGTGAGTTTTCCCCTCGCTCGTGCCATGCTGGTGCAACTTTCCAAACTAAATGGATTTTTTTCCTTCTTCCCCTCCATTGATGGTTTTCCTCTTTGACAACCATGCAATTAAAAACTAGAGCTGAAATGCCTAAACATCCAGCCGGACCAATAAGCAGAGCCCAGTGTGCTCAGCGAGTTTTTACACTTTGGCAGAATTACAAAAACTAAAAATCAGACGTACAGAGGAGCACATTCTCCAAGATCACGGAGAAGTGCTGACAGCTCTCGTGTGTGTGTGTGTGTGTGTGTGTGAGATATAGGTTTTCTTAAAAGATCTGTATAATAGAGCTATACATTTGTTAGTTGGTCAAAAGAAAAATCATCAGCCAGTGCCTAAATGATGGCTGGCACTGTGACAGAAGAATCCGACAAACACGTGAATATCGTCTCTCAACAAGGGTCCTTAATCCCGAGGTTCTCTCGTCCTCATAACAGACTATTCATAGCAAAATATTATTATTAAGTAGTAATTTGTATTTGTGTTGCAACCATTTTCTAAGCGTACTTTGCAAACCACGTTTTCTTATTTTTAAAAAGAAAGAAAAAAAAAGACAAAGCACATTTTTAACTGTAGGCATTTACAAATTTGATGCTGCCTTCTTAAAATTCTTATATCGTCTATACATTATATTACATTATTCACAACATCTTTTTGTGGTTTCTACCCATTGGGTAGGATATGTGCATAATATATTCAAGTTATATACAGCACCTTACAAACAAACATAAAGAAAGACAGACTACTGAAAAAAGCACCGTTGGAAGTGAGGCACAACGAAGGTGGGAGCTTTTTGAGTGCAAGTGGGTTTCCTATGTCTGCTCCACACGGGTCACATTACTGCTTGGAATGGCTTCAGTGGCTTCTCTAGGAGCGACCGGTCCTGTCTGGCACAATGGCCGGTGAGCAACTGCCGCACTCAAAAATAAAAATAAAAATAAAAAAAGTTCAAGGTGGAGCAGCAAGTTTGGAAACAGGCACACTGTTGCTCATTGGGAGGGAGGGTGGGTGCGTGAGAACGCCCCAGAATCCTAAATGTCGGAGCAGACTCATCCGTCCAAGACTTTAGAGAGAGGAAAAAAAAATAAAAAAAGACAGAAAGGATCGCTTTTTGGCCGTCCTCGCACTCTGCTTCTCTATTCTGCCAGACAGGCGGCGATGAAGCCACCCTCGCGGATTCCCAGCAGCAGTCTGACTGAGGTGTGGTCTGCTCAAACATGAACGTTAGGCACCTTATTTACTCACATAATAGTAACATGCAAACCTCCTTGTAGAAAACATAAAATTCATCTTTGTATCCTCCATTTACAAGCTATGACTGCGCAGAAAGAACAAGCAGAGAACAAAAAAGAAGAAGGAAAAAATACATTAAAAAAAAAAAAAAAAAAACAGGGGAAGAAGATGTGGGGCTGGAGTAGGTCAAAGGCCAAAAGTGTTGGGACAATCTTTGCTAGGTAAACACACCTCTGCTCGTCTGAAGTCAAAGTGTTGGAACACAAGGCTTGATGTCTCAATACTTGTGGGTTTGACTGCAAAGGGCCAGATTTCTCTCCTTCTGGTTGATGTGAGGGGGGGTGATACAAAGACTTTGGGCGGGTTGGGGTGAGCATGAGAAGCAGCAGTAGCAACAACAGTAGCAGCAGCAACAGCAATAGCAGCGATGTGATCTCACTCACTCACACACACACACACACACACACACACAACAAAACCTTAGAATCAGCTGATAACCACTGAGACATTCAAACACACCGATGCCGACGGGGCTTCCGTTCAGACTGACTGAAACTTTCTTATAAGTGACTCATGAGTGTGGAAGGAGGGGGACAAACATACATGAAGAACCACTTCCTGCTTCCACCTCAGCTGTCTGGCATGATGCCATCGAACACTGCTGCACTCGTCCAATAATCACCCGTGTTCATCTGGCAGCAGCAGGTGTTCTGCACCGACACATTTCATTTCATACTACAGAGGTTTGTGTATTCGTCATACGAGACCTCATCAAGTTTTTCTTTGTTGTGCGCTGACAAGTAGTGATAAAAGATGTTCAGCCTGGTGTTACTTTATATTTTTTCTTGTCAACAAATCCCATGAAAAGATTCATAAGTACTGCATGTTCCCAGTGCACCCTGGGATTCAGTGTAAAATGTTACAAACCCAACACAGCCTAATGGAAATAATTTAAATGAGCAGTTTAAACAAGATTATATCAAATGATCAGACTACATTTTACACGTGTCGCTTAAATTTGAACCTAGCAGCTCATCCCATAGGTATGAGAAGCACGGTCTTGCTGAAATAAGCAGAGGCTTCACTGAAAGATCATCAGGGTGGGACCACATGTTGCTCCATCACCCAGCATTACTGAGGGTTTCATCTGGCACGAGCGTGGGCACAAACACGTTTTCCGTTGCAGTCTTCAGAGTATCGTATCACTAACCGTCTTTACTGAAAGACGATCCTTTCTAATCAAAGATGCTATGGACCTGTTGCCAGTTAGCTGTGAAACATCCTGCAACTTCTTCAGCTTTTCTGAAACATCCTGGCAACAAATTCACACATTTTCCTGAAACAAAAATGATCTGCAAACGTGTTATTGTTAGCATGTTATTCCCATGAGCTCGACTGTGGTTGAATAACAGTGAGTCGCACCGGAAAGCATGTTCCTTCATTACCAGCACGCAGCCGTTTACATGGACTCACACAGCCTTCCTGTGGGTGCTAGTGCCCACTAGAGCACCAAATGTGTTTGAGCTTAAAATAGTCCTCAACCAGTCCAAATCTAACTAGAGCCACGTGTGCAGCGTCCAGGTGCTGCACCCACCACCTCCCTGTGAGCCTCACGCTGAAAAATCCACTGGTTGGATATTATTATTTTTTTAAAAAGGCTCCACTAACAGACCTGTCATAATGACTCCCACGTACAGAGCTTTAAAATCGTGACAACAGTGGACTGTGAAAGCGATTGCTCTTCGACGATGAATTTTGGCATTAACAAGAAACACACTAATTTAACCTTGAGCCAAATGCTTCTTTTAAATATTGTGTCTCTTCAGCAGAAATGAATGGAACTGGTGCTTAGTGCCGAGTGCTACAGACGGGGTGAGGAGGTCACAAAAGTATTTAGACACTTTCATGGGATTTGCTGAGAGTAGGAAAAAACATCAAATTCATACAACCTTGTCCTCTGATCTTGAAAAGAAAGCAGAGCTTTCGTTTTTCAAAGATTTAATACATGGAGGGACTATAAAGACTGCACTTCACTCAGAAAACAAGCATGTCCCGCGTGCACGCCAACGTGCTGAGGCTGTACTGCTAGCACGCCTGGAACCAGTACGTAGTATGAAACAGACTCACATCATCATCATCCCAGCTGGGCTTTTCCTTTTTGGGGTTCGCTGGATGCATCCACTTTGTTTGAGGCTCACTGTGATGTCACCTTTGCACTGTGACAATCAAACATGGAGCATTTCTGCCTTTTTAAGAAAGACACTCGACTGTATCCCGATGAAAGCTGAACTGAAGCTGTGTTAAAGAAGTAATATGTCCTTGAATGTTTAAACTGGAGTCAGTTAATAAATCATTCAGTTACAATCTCTCACACACACACACACACACAAAACTCCTGCAGGAGCATTAAGTGCTTTTCTGTGTTGTTAAAAGGTCTGACCAACAAACGCACACGTGTACACACTTATACAGTGAGGAGAGGGCTGCACCAGCACGCTGCCGAATGAGAACTCCACTCCAGTCTCCACTTTAAAGGGCTCGGCGGACTCTGCATCATTTGATCGCACTTTTTCTGCACACGGATGGATGGATGGAGTGATGATGAACAGTGTTTACCGGAGACGCCGTTAGAAAAGGGGGGAGGGGGACTGGCGCAAACAGGAAAGAGAGACAGATAAAGCGCAAGAGCAGAGGAGAAGGCAACGATGAGCAGAGAAAAAGGCTAGATTTTCAAAAAGGTTTTTTTTCTGTGTTTCTTTTACAAAAAGGAGCCTCCCATAGCCCTTTGACTTTGACGACAGACAATTTTCCTTTAAAAACCTGATCTCTGTGCTGACAGACGCAGACAGGAATCTTCACTTTGTGTCATTCTTTTGTGGCTTTAGAAACGTGAAGACGGAGAGTCGAGCCTTCTTTTTTTTCCCCCCCTCCTTCTTCTTCTTCTTCTTCACATATTTTGTGTTTTTCTGTGTGGGTTCGAGTTCAGTGTGGTGGCTGTTGGCAGAATGCACTGTGCAAGATGTCTGAGACGAGCATTTGGGGAAGGGCGGTGGACCTGGATGCAGGGAAGGGGGGCGAGAGGAAACATCAGGTACTCAGCAGTCAGGGTAGATTTGAAATGAGAAGAATCTGCTCTGACCACCTGCTAGACAGACCCTCCTTAACAGGGGCTGAGGGCTTTCTTTTTTAAACTTGATATCAAAACAGCTGGGCTGATATCTCACAAACCTGAGCCTGGATCCCACTGAATCCAGCCAAGCTGTGTTTAGGACTCTAATCTTTGCTCACTTCCTCTGGTGGTTAGTTATAACACACCATCAATCCAGCAGCTGCTCATGAGGCAGATTACCCCCCCCCCCACCCCTCCCCATGATGTGAACGCAGACATGAAGCAGTACAGGTTATTCTCTTACTAAGTCTCACTGTGCCTGTGGTGTAAGCAGACAGAGATGTTTAGGCTGGGTACAAGGATTTCTTGCGGTTTTCAAAAAAGGAAGGACATAAGCTTATAATACTTGTTTTTTTTTTGTTGTTTTTTTTGTTGTTGTTGGGTTTTTTTGTTTTGTTTTTTTGTTTTTGCTCCCAATTGTTTAAAACAACTTTGGAGCCAAAGTTCAGTCAGTCAATCAGTCCATTCACAAAAAGGCCAAAAAACAAACAAACAAGACAGGAAATTAAAAACATCGCTGTTATAACATAACATCATTTCCCTCTTCTCTTTTACAACAAAAAGATAGTGCAACTTTGAGATAACGTTTCTTTTGTGTTTTCAATGTTAAAACAAGTCATCCCCCCCTTTGTTTTGCTTCCTTGTGAACCTTGGCACTAAGATTTGGGTTTGTGAGTCTCTTGTTTCGTTGTGTTCTCTGTAAAGTCCTTGATTCTCAGTTCTCGCTTTGTGCACAGATCCCGGTCCAAAAACAGAAAAACAATGAAGAAAGAAGAAAACAACAAACCCCCCCAAAACTGATCCCTCCTCAGTTCCTGGGGACAGCGGCATCGCCGCCAGGGGGAGTGGGGGGGTGAAAGAGAAAACTGTTTCAATCTGTGCTAGCAGTGTGGTTCTTTCTTAAAATAAGGAGGGAAAAAAAAAGTCTGGACACAGTGCGTACATCCTGTCCCAGCAGTGCTAGCGCATGGATGAAATGAGATCAGTTGTTGGTTCCTCTCTTTGCTCGTTTCTGTAGCTAAAGTTGGTGTGTTTGTGCATGGGAGTGTGGAGAGAGGACGTGAGAGACAGAGCGATAAGAGAGACCCCGGCTTACAGGAGGTCTGGGGTGAACGAGAGACACAGATCTCAGTCTGGGGTGGGTTGCCCTACCTCTCCCCTCCCTGTTTCTTCACACCAAGTCCTCTGGTTGGCCGTCCTTGGCCTTGGCAGGTACAATTGTGCTTTCTGATTGGCTCTGCTGCTGGATTGTCCTACTCCCCAGCCCCCCCGGCCTCCCCACCCTCTGGTTATTGCTGTGCTGGTGTAGAAAGAATGCTGAGCCAGGGTAGTGGCCTATCACCTCGCTGTATGCTGGCGGGGGGCCCTCCATACGCCCGTGGCTGCTGGAGTTGGCGGCACTGATGCCCGAGTTACTGCTGGGCGGCCTCGGGCCACCGCCCCCCATCCCAGCCCCTCCTCCCCCTACCCCTCCTAGACTCCCGCCTCCTCCCATGTCGATCAAGTCACTGTCGTAGATGGTCCGGTTGGGCGGTGCCCTCACCGACTCGCGGTTCAGCTCCATCTGCTGCTCGGGGTCACGGAGCTGGAGGGTGCAGGGTCCCTGGTACGGCGGTGGTTCCTCCCCGTCCGACAGAGAGATGGTGGGCGGCAGGTCAATCTGATGCTGCAGGTAGGGGTAGGTGGGCTGGAAGCGGCTGAAGCGGTCACGCTGCATGAAGGAGGGAGCGGTGAAGCGATCCCTCGCCTGCGGAGCATATAACACCTGAGAGACAGAGCGAGACAGAGGAGTGAATGAGCTGGGACATGCACGAGGAGAGGACAAAGATAAAAGCTTGGCTGTGAGCTGGCTGGCATCAACAGGAACTCGATCAGTCTTAATACCAGTATCTTTCTGATACACATACAACGTGAAAATGACCAAACACTCAAACTGATGTTCAGTGCAATGAACTCAGAGTCACTGTTTGATCTACAAAACTTCTGTTTGAGCTTTTGGGAATAATTCAGCAGCTCATCGTTAAAAATCTTTTTTTTTTTTTAATCATTAAAATCATTTTCATGACCAGTCAGCCTTGTGAGTTAATGACACTGTAGCAGCAAAAACTACTTATCACGTCTGGCCTGCAATCCAAAATCCAAATCTATCAAACGAGCAATGAGGCTGGAAGCAACAAGTGTTTCTCATTTTATTTGTCAAGTGACTTATCTGTGATTATTCATCCATCCCAATTCATTACCTGTAATTTTTAGAGTCATACCCAGAGTCTATTAACAGTTCAGCAGTTCTGACCTTACCCTGTACACAGCCTTCATTTGTTTATTCTGTTTTGGTCACAGTGTAAACCAGTTATAGCCTCACAGCAAGTCACATGATGCTTTCTGCATAACAATCATTTCTGTATACGCTGATTTCACGCAAGCTTTTGCTGGGAGACGAGGCTCCGTACAGTGAAGTATGGTTACCATGCTGCATATTTAAAATGAATGATATCCTGGTGCAGCAACGGCACACGCCAGCGTGCCACCAATTAGCTGTGACAGACATTACAATGTAATTACAGTAAAGAGGAAGAAAGGAGCCTGCACTCAAACAGAAAAACATTCAGCACACCGGTTCATCCACCAGCTTTTGTCAGAGATCTTCACCTCAATTAACTCTTCAGACTGTGACGGCATGATCCATTTCTTCATTTCTCACATTTCTATCCAATTCCACACATTTCCACTGTGTCGAGTCATTATCAGAGGGAACCCATTTCAATTAGTGACTGCGGCTCTAATAGCCAACCCCCACTGACAAGGCAGTCTGGGTGGAGAGAACAACAGACGGGGGAGGGAGGGGGGTTTTTAGAGGATCAGGGCAATTGAAATGGAGAGACGGAGTGAGGGAAAGAGTGGAACTGAAAGGATTAAAAGGAAAGGCTACTGAGATAAGGAGAGAGAAAGAAAGAGCACAGAAATGAAAGGAGGAGAAGAAAGAGGCAGGGAGATAAAACGCGAGAAGGGAAAAAGAGCTGAAGGCAGAGAGAGAAAGGACAGAGACAGACAAATAGACAGACGGCAGGGGGAGAAAGGTGTGGAGCTGATAGAGGGAGCAGAGCGCAGCAGAGCGGGGCAGCTCTCAGACGTCTGTCTAGACAGTGTCAGGGGAGGTGTTGCTGATTAATGACGCACCAAAAACCATCCAACCCCCCGCCCTGCCACACAAACACTCAGTCAGCCCCCATCCCTGCATCCATCAGCCACCCACACTCAGTGGCTGCGTCTCCCTCTGCGTTCGTCTCTCCGTGGCCTTTTCCTTAGTTTCCGGGTCTCTCTGGGTGCACACGTCGTTTTTACGACTCTCTCTCTCTGCCGCATAAATACTGGGGCACTTTAAATCCGACTTGGTGCTACAAGCCAGTACAGACTGCCAAAGTGCATCCACACTTGCCAGCCAAAAACTTTCACACAGCCTCAATATACTATTATCTGCAACTAATCAATACTACCATGTGATTTTCCAGCAGTCTTTTAACCCAGCGCGTCTCTTCCGACCCTGACTCGGAAGCTCCTCCATCTGGCATCAACGCAATTAAGAGATCAGATCACCAGTCACAATGAGTATACTGGCATTTGTCTGTGCTTTTGTATTCACGAGTCTTTGTGAACATGCCAATTTTGATCTTGTTTTGGAGTACAGTGCCAGGCATACCCATTGCAACACAGTGTGTGAGCTCCAATTCCTGCACGATCAAATATTTACCAGCAAGCAAAAAAATGCACATATCAGGCTCTCTGGGCCCTGACTGAACCGCCAAACAACTCTACAAGGGCAAGCGCTGATAAATAAGCCAACAAAGACACAAAGAGAAGCTGAGAGGAAATGGATGTCTTTTATAACGGGGCGAGCAGAGCGTGGAGATTAGACAAAAGCCATCCCTGAGTGTGTTCAGGTCTCCTTTCTCTGTTTTATTCCTTTTAATTACCATTTTTACACACTGCACTTCTCTATACCAACTCTGAATGCCAAACTGTTAAATGCACTTTTATCATCTATGTTCTTTTCATTGCATTTTAGTTTGATAAAAAGGTATGAATTTTGGGGTTCTGTATTTGTTGTGTTTATTTGTAAGGGCTGCAGCTACTTGAAAATAAAATATTCAGCAGCAGAGAGCATCTGATTGTAAGCCTTTAAAGATCACTTGGTTTTTCCACAAGGACAAACACTGAATTAACCCATAACCAGAGCTGCCAACGAGGTTTTTATTAATATTTAAATTGCTTCCCTAAAAACGAGGCGAGAAACTAATTTAGCATCCTAACCAAATGAACCAAGTCCAGGTGGTCACACTGTGATTCTGACTGAGATGCAGCTGCAATAAATGTGTCAGATTATCAAAATTTATTCAGCCATACGTTGCAGTTAACAATACCTCTACACTCTTCTACGCACTCTGCCTACAGACAAAATCTGTACTGAGGAAGGATACTGCGCTGGGCTGAATATTTGTTGACATCATCATTGCACGTTCATAGTTTTTTGTTTGTTTGGAGAGACCATCAGTGTAACTGTGTTCTTTTATTTTTTTTTTAAAAAGTGCTGTTTTATGCATTCATTGTTTCCTTATAGTTGCGATGCTGACAAGAGTCATTGTCTCCATTTAGTTCTTTATACCTTACTTTGTTAAAGGTTTGAGAATTTCTAAAAGCTCCTGCAATTCAAGGAAATTCCTGACAGAAAATGTGTCCAAGGATCACAACTGTTTCCAGATCCAATGCTCAGAGAGAAAAGACCAACAACCTTATCACAGTAACTTAACTGGTTAGAGGCTACACACTCAGGAGCCTGCAGACAGCCAAACTAGCAGAAATTTTAGTAAGAACTTGCTGAATCTACTGAAATTCAATATTTGTAAGTTTACATATAACAAGTGTAGACAAAGCAATACTCAGTTTCATTGTGGAAAAGTGAAGTTTCATTCAGCTGAGCACTCAGCTCCTATAACATGGGGCATTAGCTGAATGTGTTTATCGGGAGTCAGTGTGGTGGTCTTACCTCCGAGGCACCTTGCCGAGAGCCGCTGTCTGAAGGCCACAGGCACCCGTCCTGCACATGGAGACACAAACAAAGAGGAAGGCAAAGGTTCAAAAAGTCCCCGGGTGGGTTGAAGATTGTTGTGTTTGTGCTTCAGTGGGATGCTCAGGTTAGCAACAAAAACAACATATTACTAGAGATGCATAAACAGGACTGGTCCAGAATTTAAGATGAGAAAAATACATGTAAAAGAAAATGTAAAAATGGTGTCATCAGGTAGCCTGTCCAGGTGAGCAGCTCCCAATGTAACAAGAATATGAGTTGACCAAATATATGCCCAGATATCCAGTGTTGGATACTGAGGATGAGCTGGGGCTGGGCTCTAGGGATAAAATGTGTAATGCTTTAGAAGTCTGCAGTCATTACGGTTTGCTGTGTCTGAAAAGGATTTTGATGTGACACCATTAACAAACTTTCTTACTTCACAGCTAAAGAACAAAAAAAGGAGAAGAAAAAGAAGAAAGCATGAATTAAAAAAAACAAACAACAACAACAAAAAACCAAAAAGTAACAACTTAATGAGGACACAAAAGATGAAACAGCGGCACTGAGAAATGCCTGATGGCTTCAAACCCAAAATTCTGCCCTGTTTGAGAGCACAACAAAAGACAGAAGACTCCATTTTAAAAATAGGCAGGATAAAAGCTACAACAAATAAACACAACTGTCAAATAATTGCAGTTTCCCCTTCATCTACACTTGACTGGAGGATCTTTTCTCAGACAGCATAGTCAACAACATTTAGCTGGGGTTTTTTTGTTTTGTTTTAGGGGGAGCAACATGAGAAGCATAAACATGCATAAATACTGTTTATTCATGCATCTTTTAGGGGTAAAGGTCATCATTCAGTGGGCTTGTTGCTTTCTGATGTTGCTTTGTACCTCGCTTTGATTGAATGATACACAGCACAGAGTGGCAGGAGGAATCAAAAAGCAGAGCTTATTAGCTGAACACTAATATTCAAATTGTTGGTAACAGTACACCAAAGCTGACAAATCATTAGGCTGAATATGTTTATGGATCCATAATGCATCATGTTTTGAGCCTGAGTCTATTTCAACGCACATAAATAAACTGTGTGTGTGTGTGCATGTGTGTTTGTCCCAGAGTGTACATGTCAGTACGGGGGCAGAGCGGCTGCCGTCTAGACGGCGCTGTAGTGAATTAAACATCAAGACCTGACAGAGTCTGGCTCTGAAGAAACCAATTCAGCAAGTTCATCTAACAGACGCGCGCGAAGACGTTACCTCGCTGAAACTGGGACAGAAACTCAGACTGGGATAAAAGGATTCATTTAGCTCAGCACAGCTTTACTGGGAACATACTGGTAAGCTATGTTTGTCCTGCTGCAGAAATACAGAAATGTACTGTCACAATGAGTAGGCAGGGACATTCAGTGAGAACAGATGAACACACATGCGCGCGCACACACAGACACCAGTTTAGATCAAAATGTTACTGGCATGGATGCTGGGAGAACAGTGCCGTCTGAGCCACTCAGTACAAGCAACACAAACAAACAGTCTCTTTTTAGCTCTCCCTTTCTTTCGCTGTTTCTCAAACACCCACCCGCCCACAAACCCACCCACCCACACTGACCTGTTGTAGGGCATGGTCATGCCTGCGGGCCTGGCTCTGCCTCGTTATGAAAGACCAGGTGGAGAGCTTGTAGTGGTTGAGCAGGCAGATGATCACCACCACCATCACAGTCATCACAACGATGATGATGATGATCTGAACAAACTCCAGTTCAGCTGCACAAACACATGGAAAGAGAGGAAGAGGATTAGCATCTAACTTTTAGAGATTAAAGGTACTTTAGCAGTTAATGACTACTCTTAATATCAAGTTATTTAAAAAGGAAAAAAAAAAAACACATCACGTGGTTTCCAGACAAATCTGCATCATCTCAAAAACACCCAATACATTTTCTAAGAGCACAAACAGACCGACAGAAATATTTAATTTTGTCCAATAAACACTTTAAAGCAATTCAAATTTAATCACATGCGGGGAAATAAGATTTGAGAATGTTTCACACACATCTTAAAAACTGCCTTCAAGTGAAAATCACATTATGTAGCAGAGATAGTGAACACCTCCAGGATTAGGATATTTGCAGGCCTTTTAAAGTCAGACAGGTTGAAATTTGACTGAACTACTTCAGTTTGAGAATCCTAAGAGTCACATTAATCATTCTTCGTCAAATCTGCACTGTTAAAAAGGCAGATTTAAAGCAAAGTGATAACAGGCCAGTTTCATAACTAAGATCATCTCTGCTGATGGAGATCATGCAAAATGAAGCCTCCAGGACACCCGGTAAGAGGACCAGTGATTTGAACCACGACTGAGCTGCTCTAATGTGTGTTCGCCAGCAGAGAGCAGCACAGGTCAATCTCCAAGTGGCTGAGTATATGTGTGATTTACACAGTATATGAATATGTGTGTGTCTGTCTGAGGAATCTACAGAGAAAAGCTTCAAATCACAAAAAAGATGAGTGTTGAGACAGTGTGTGCCGTCTGTCCCAGAACACAGTGGTTCCTTTGTGGAGACACTGAATAACTGTGGTGTTCTGTTCTGTGACACACAGCCACACACAGCCACACACACACACACACACACACACACACACACACACACACACACACACACACACGAGCATCAGAGCTGATGTGGTATGACCTCCCAGATCAGGGCACCACCGGGAGACACAATGATCGCCGCTTTTCACTTACGTCTGCCTCCCATCTCTTGTTCATTGTATCATGCTCTCTTGCTCGTCTTTGAACCCTGTCTGCATCTCAGCTCACCTGCCATCACTTTCTCCAACTTTCCTCTAACCCTATCCATGCATCCTCCTCTCCCTCACCTACACGCCTCTTCTTGCAGTCTTTCAACTCTTGTCTTTACCGATCTCTTTGCATTCTTCCCTCACCCACCATCATTCATTCCCTACATTTCCCTCATTCTTTGTCATCTCCTACTTTGGTTCTCTCCCTTCTTTCTCGTCCACCCCGTCTCTGCTCCCTGCCAGCCTCCCTGTCTGCAGTGTGACACTCTTTTGTTGTGTTGTTGGTTTGTTCTGAGTAGGAGTCTTGACCTTGTCCGGTGTTGGCACCCAGTCTGACCTCTGACTCACACGCTTGCGCACTGCTGGACATCCAGTACACTGTGCGTGTGTTCTGTATGAACAATGACACAATGTACGCTCTGCTATTTCAGCCACAATGCCTCAATTCTCAATGCTCCCCCCCCCCCAAAAAAGCTCTATGCAATCTGAGGAGCACATTACCCATGATGCAACTGGACAGCTTTTGACATGGCAAGGGTAGACCAAGTGAAAAAAAAGTAAGCAGAGTGTTAAAATCCAAAAACAAGAAGAAATGGAAAGTAATCAGTAACAGAATATCTTGTGAATTCTTTGAAATTAAGAGCACAGAAGGAGACAACCAGAAATGAAAGAGAGCTAGTTAAAGCCAACCTATCTCAGGCTTGCCTGCCTAATAATCCTTCGTGGCTTATTTGTCTGCAATATGGTGGGTTAGAGTCAAAGCTGGGCTGAAATGCAAAACCCACCCAAACCTGCCTCTGCTTTACCACAGCAGCCACAGGGCGGGGCAGGAGTGAGAGGAACAAGGCCAACTAGAAAAAAACCACAGTGAATGGGGGGTGGGGGTAAGAAAAACTGTGGGAAGGAATGAAACCTAAACCAGCAAAACCAACGAACATTAACCACCAAAGAGCAAAGAGGTGGGTACTGCAACCAACGGTGACAGAGAAGCTCCACAACTTCCCCTCTGAGATGAAAGTGAGGTGGTGAAGTGAGCTCAGATGAATTTAATAGTATAATTCAGCAAATTTACCTCATTAAACAGCCTTCTCAAACTATTTAATTGACAAATACAATAACAATCTTAGTGGAAAATCATGACCCACCCCTCTCACATCAGACATTTGAAACTAAGGTATTAAACTCTTGATCGCAGTGCGAGTCACCTAATATTTAACAGGCAAGAGTAAGGGGAGTGCTGAGAGTCGAGATGAAGGGTCGAAACTGGTGTTTAAAAAAAAATCTCCTAGTAACATAACATCATGGAGGAAGCCTGTGGCAAGGAGCGACAATTCAAACCTTACTGCCCATCTCAGCTCGAAGACCTTGTATCATATTATACCAGTACAGCAGGAAACCTGGCCTACTTGTGGTTGTTAGTTTCCAAAAGTCAAATGGGTGGCAGAGCCTTCAGCTGTCAGGTGATCTCATATGGAACCAGCTCCCAGTATTCAAATTCTCCTTTTGGATAAAACCAACTTGTGTACCTCGCTCAGGGAACCTTCTCTGAGGTAGTTCTGCTGGAGGTCTCTGTTAAAAGGGAGTTCTTCCTCCTCACTGTCTTTAAGTGCTTGCTCATACCTCATTCTTGTTGTACCTTGCAATATAAAGCTGCCTGAAACTGGTGCTATATTAATACAGTTCAGTTGTACTGAGCCTTGTTGAAGTGTGGTGAACCCCTGCTTTAAATCATGGGGCAACATGAACATCTGTATCAATTCATTTAACTTCTGTCAAGGTATTTTACTCTAAAGTACAGCTTCATTGTGGTACGAGGTTTCATACCAAGAATATATGTACAAGATTGAATAAAGTTAAGTAAAAAAAAAGAAAGAAAAAAAAAACAGAAGACACTCCCACTCCCCAGTTTGGGCGCATCAGCTCTCTGTGAAATAAAGCACGGTGTCAGAAAGTTAAGTTGTCGAGCTGCCTGCTTTACTTTGGAGCTTCATCCAGTTACCAGCCTGGGCCTGTGCATTCACCACAGCAGCCACAGGGAGGGGACGGAGGAGGCTTTCAATCAGAGAGAAGCATTCTGGGAAACCAAGTCGACCAGGCCCTCCTGTAAGCCAGCTGGATAAATATCACATACTCTGCCTTCTGCTGTTGTAAAAGCGGCACAAAGCCGACGCCTGACTCAAAGCTGGTGTACTTCTTCTGAAGTGCACAGGCGGGGATGTTTTCACAGCTCAAGTTCATGTTTTTACAGTTCAAGCAAAATAAAAAAGTACAGCGGCTGTAGTTAATGGCCTCTTCTCTAAACGCCAGGGAGGAAGGAAGCCAGAGGAGGAGTTGAGAAGAGAGGAAGGAAGTGCGGGGAGGAGAAAAGACTGGGGGGTGTCCTCTCTGAACCCAGTATCCACCCGAGTTCAGAGGCTCCAGAACAGAGCGTACAGCACAGGCTCGCTCACAGGCCAGAGAACAGTGTGTGCTGGCAGTCTGCATTAACAGCACCAGCCTGATGTTATTACTACAGTAATCCACTTGTCAAAACAATATCAGCCCGGCGTCTGCAAAAACCCTTATTCCTTCAGCAGGATGAATCACTTGCATTACAAGCCAGCCGTCCTGTCGTTTTTTTTCCTGCTGCGGTGACGAGAGAGGCCATCGAGTTTATTCAAATCATGTCAAAGTGACCATGCTGCACAGCACCGAGCTTAACACATCTGTTCGGGCACTGGCTGTTTTTACACAGCACAGCTTTGTCGACAAAAGGGAAACATTAAATAAAAATATAAAAAAACCATACTGTACATACAAGTATACTTTGAGGGTGTTAAAAAAAGTAATTCAAAGCCAATTTTAAAGCAAGAATTCTCACTACCAGAAGGCAAGTAGAGTTTTTTTAAAAACATGCTTATGGCAGCAAATATAGCACAACTAATCTATATTCTACTGAAAAGGCCTCTCTGTCAAATGCTATAAATGTTAACTACATAAAGCTTAAAACAGTCTTCTTCAGGCTTTTGTTTTTTTTAACTGTAGCCAATTTCATGAGTCAGGAAGTGACTCAGAAGAAGATACAAATCAAGTAGGGCTTACAATAGAGCTGGGCGATAGAACGATAACGATATGTATCGCGATATAACCTTTTCTCGATAGAAAAATTAAACTATCGCGATAGACCTCGCCGCTCTTGTCCTCTTAAAAAAACAAAACAAAAAAAACAAAAAAAAACCAGCCAATCCAAATTACGTAGCGCAGAGCCGAACCAATCACAGCCGCAGCGTCACGTCACGTGACTTGTTACGTACAGCACAAGTGCCAAGCCGCACATGTGTATTTGTTTGGGAAGCAGCCAGCCACTGTACCGCCCGGGTAATGGAGGAAATGAGTGTGCCGACTAGAAAAATCAACCGAGCGTGACCGAAGAGAAAACAGATGATGGTTCCAATGCCGGAGAGATTGTCGAACGGAAGAGCCACAGAAGTTCCGTAGTGTGAAGGTATTTCGGCTATTTCAAGTCTGACAAAAAACAGAGTAGCGTGCACTGTAAATTGTGCCGAAAGCAAGTCTGGAAATACAATAAACTGGTGCATGCGCTACGTCCACACGTACCCGGGTATTTTTGAAAACGCAGATTTTTCTATGCGTTTGCACCTTTCGTCCACACGTAAACGGCGTTTTTGGTCACTGAAAACGAAGATTTTTGAAAACTCCGTTTTTGCATTTACGTGTGGACTAGAAAAACGGAGAAAACGCAGCGTCAAAGGTGTGCGCATTTTTTGACGTCACACTGTGCGCCACGTTATTGTTTCGGTGAAATGAATTTCTACAATACTGTTACTGTTAATTCTACTCTCTGCAGTGTTTAAATGCTTACATATACACACAGTTACTGTCCCTCCACACATACGACTCGGTTCTGCTTCTATGCCCCAGCTTTGTTTACTTTTTCCCACCGAGGCTTCTAGACTTCTGAT